TAGCAGCACAGTGATTTATTCCAGAACACAGCTTTACAGAACTCAGTGAATCTTATTTAAAATGCTGAGAATGTATTGAGGTTACTTATTAGACAACAGCTCAGATCAGTCAAGCACTGGTCCCTTGTCACACTTTGTCTTACATTTCAATGTACATGCAGTATTCTCATACTGCAGCCTTTTCATATCTCAAAGTATTGCAGCTGAAACTATTGTGTGAAAGTTAATGATGCATCACGATCTTGCTAGATCACTTATTGTTCCTTGGTGAGAGCCCCAGTAACCCCACTGATTTTTAAAGAGCACAGTTTAAAGATGAACAGAGAGCTTCAATTTAAAGGATTTTTAAAAAGAAGGGGAAACTTGAATCACAGGACAGAAGCTATAGAAAACAATACTATAGTGAAATCAAGGCTGTTGGGACTTGTTTTGTTATGATAAAACCTTTTTCGTTTCATTTCCTGTCCATTCATTTCATTTCAAAGACAATATACCTTTTGAAAATAAACCTAGAGAAAGTAAATTGACTAGCAACATAAGAGTCAGGTTGAAAAGTAGAATTAAGACCTGCTTTTTTCTATAATCCGCAAATCTGGAAGCATTGTATTTCTTAACCCTTATTTTTGGCATCAGTAAGTTATTGATATTTTTTGTCAGTGCTTGGATGCACTGAAGAAAGAACTCCTTTGAAACATCCCAATTCTCTGTAGAAATGTAAAGGTTTCTGGAAAGAATTTGAAAGCTTTTATAAAACTCTGTAAGATTATAGTAAATGTGTTTCTTTTTATTTTATTTTTATTGTTAAATAAATTAGGTGGAAATGCATTTGCTAATAATATTCACTAGTAATGCAACCCCTTGTCCCAAACAATAGCATAATCAATCTTAGAACTGATCTAGGGAAGTGCTAAAATATTTTGCTTTTCTTAAAATCTTAAGAAACCTTTTTTTAAAAGGTTGTGGTACATTTTCCATTTGATAACAATAAGGAAGAGGGAATATTCCAATATAAAAATAAAATAAAATAACTTGTTCTACTGTACTTCATTCATCCATTGTCAAAGAGCCTAAACAAACCAGAGCCTATCACAGAAACAGAGAACAAGGCAGAACTGCAAGAGGTTGACTGCTCTCCACCTGCGTAGGACACTAGACCATCACAGAGCCATGGTAAAAGGAAATAACTACTGTACATATCTGCTAAATGCCATTTCTTGCAAACAAAGTTCTATGTAAGTAAATTAAAAAAAGTTATAATGAAATTAATGCAACATTGTAAATAGTACTGCAACCGACAATGTCATTTGTTAGTAATATAAAATACAGCCGTTTCAAAGAAAATACAATCAGTTCATCAAATGAATGTGATGTACAATAATATTAATTTACTAACATTTTGTATTTTAAAAACATGCCTTTGACTTTGTTTCAATTTACTATTTTTCAAGATCAAATCACCTCACCTGCTAGTCTATTTTTAGAAAATTGAAAGTATTAAGGACAAATTGGTTCATACAGTAAATGTCTTCAAATCAGGTACCATACAGTATGAGCATTACAGCCTACAAATGGTCAACATCAGGGGATACTACCCGTATTTACCAACACTGGGTGGTATGGTGATGTGATGGCCAGTCTCTGACATGATAGAGTGAGAAAGTTGTCATGAGGATTCTTGTCTGAGTTCTGCTCTGAGTGTTGCTCTGTCTCCGAAAAACACCGGTGGGACTGATGTGTGTCACTGTAAGATGTGCTTATTCTTTGACTGTACCTTAGGCTTTACTTTTTACATTTAGGAAAGTGAGATGCTACTCTTTACTCTCAGAGAAAATCATGTAATGCCAACAGAATTATAACTGCCTATTATTCATTGTCATAGTAATAAGTGAAGAACTATGGCTATTATCAACTTCAAAAATGAAGTTCTGAAACTTATTCCTGTTAGTAGATGCTCCCTTTAATGTAACAAAAATGGCCTTAGATTAATATAACCAACAGTGAATGTCATCTAGTCATGAAACCCTATTCTTTAAAATATACAGTATTTGAAAATATTTTTTTCTCTGGTACAGTAACTCAATACTTAATATAATGACTATGGCTGGATCCAGATTTGAATAGTCTAATCCACGAAACCCAGGGAGGCACAAAACCTGCTAAAAAGACAGTTCCCTGCCACAGAGCCGGATTTTGGTATTCGTAGGCCTTAGGCACTTTCACTCCGAAATGTGCAAAAAGAGGGGTAAACCCAATTGAATTACGTCTATTGACATGATGCACTTTAAAGTATTGTAATGACCAGGGGATTCGCACAGAATGAAGTTTGCACACCCTTGATGTGCCGGCAACAACATGTTTATTTACCTCTGCCCCTCAGACTTTGACAGACAGAGATTGAAACTCCAGGAAGGGGTTAAACACACACAGGGTGAGGATTAAGGAGGGGTACTTCAGTTTACGGTGGGTTACAAGGACAAAGTAGCAAACACTGACAATTATTAACAATGGCTCCTCATAAGCTCTCTATGCTATTTACACTGCCAGGTCAATCTCTCTGGTCGACACACTGCCCTCAAGTCCAGCCCGATGGCCGCTGCCCCCAGCCTGCCTTGTGGGTGTGTAGCTAAGGGGAGGTGCAGCCGCTAAAGTGACCAGTTTGGGTGCTACACTATTCTGATGGTAAACCACGTGATTGATGGACCATCACTTCGATACTTCTAATTTCTAGAACAGCCACCAGATAGTGTATGGTTATTGATTTGGAGAACCTAGAGTCAATCGCAAGCATATTGTGCCAGCTCGTTTTTCGTTAGTCACTAGTGTTTCCCTCCTTCATAGGCCCTTAAAATTCCATAGTCCCTAATGGGAAATCTAGCACTGCCCTGACAAAGCGAGTTGAAGTATTCTTCAGACACCCAGAGGACTGGCTTTGCTGCAGTCGCCTCTGCTGACACTATGAGACCTGTTAGACTGGCAATATTATCGTGATTAGTGCAATTTATTTCATTGGTCAAGCCAGGACAAGTACCAGCGCAAGTACAATAAAAGATTTTGGAGATTTGCAATAACTTTTATTCCAGACAATAAAGCAAAGCAAAATGTGCAATCATCAAATAAACAAGAAGTCACAGTCATATACAAATGAATTCTCCTCATTTTTATTTTTTTGTACATGTACAGTATTTTAAGATGCTGAAATTAATTAATAAAGGTGCTTCTTGTGATACTGTGTGTCAGAAATTACGAACTGCACGTAAAACCGCACGCTCCTTATTCACAATACCACCACCAAAATAAAAAAAGTACACTATCTTCATGCTACAAAAAACTGATCAAACTGCACTTAAATATATACGAATCAAAATATGCTTTGCGGCAATCATTCTACTTGGTTTTAAAAAAGGTTTCTTTAGCAGATTTCCCTGATGGTACATCTACAGCCTAAATTTAGGTCTGATTGTGCAAACCGGAACTCTGTACAATTCGAGAGATTAAAGTTTTAACAACATGATGGCCAAACTCCGTAAAAGGGCGATACAATGCAATGAAGCATCAGTGTGAAGCACAATGAACTGAAATGTCATACTGCTGGAACTGTCTATTTATAATTTTCTGGGACCCTCCATGTGCCAGCCTTATCCTGTCCTATCTCCAGTCTGTTTTGACCAGACTGTGAATTCCTCATTAAAGACCCTCATCACCCTGTCCAAGTTTCCTGCCTGATCTTTATGCCTACTGTATAGTCATGCACCTGATGCTTTACTCAATAATGCCACATGAACCAGGAACAGTGCACACCAATAGTGTGACCTGCAAATAATCTCCCACCACAACAATGGCAAGCAACAGATCACGTTACTAATATAATCCATTGTGTTGTGTAATGTGTGACGTGAGCTTTGCTATAATGGTATGCACAGTGCACAATACAATGGTTTCCACTCCCAGGAATTTTTTAGCTATAAAAACAGGCTTAAGGCTTTCCAAGTTCTGTTGAGAGAATGTTTGCTCAAAGTAGCTAGTTTTCATATATTGAATACACTATTCCAACTGAGTACCCATAGAGAACCGTAAGCTACTGTATACTTTAACGTCCGGAAATCTGTAGCACTGCAATGACCAAGGATATTGGGTGAGAAATACAATACACTTGAACAAAAAAATTAAAAATAGCCTTCTTCCACTGATTTGAGAAAAGATTAAAATCAGGCTTTGCTCTGCCAGACAATACTGAAATAATAGTAATAGAAGGAACACAATGTGTTACACATAGAGAGGCAGGTTGTTATATTTTCACCTGCAATTCACCTGCAATTGGTTCTCTGTTGCCTTTAAATTGCATTTTGTTTTACTTGTTGCCCATGAACGTTAATGCATTGTTTTTAGAGCCTGTTTTGAGATTCGTCTCTTACTATTGTAATACAATTATTTAACAAAACGATTAATAGAACTGTGTGTGAACTCACAAGCATGCAAACAAGAGGATATATTTCAGTCTTAAAAAAGAGAAAAGGATGCTTGATTGCCCCCCTTTGTAAGTCAAAGGAACCACATTAGAATGAAGGTCTGTAATATCACAGTAACTCAATACTGGTGTAAGCACAATTACAATGTTAGTGACCTGGATATACTGTAGCATTAAAAAAAAACCCACTGGTGAATATAAATGATGACACTGAGAAAGTCAGAAAGTGTTCATCACATTGGAAACACTGATGGATTTGAAAGTTGGCACATCTGGATTCTACCTAATAGCAACAACAGAAAGGTCAAAGAGATACATAATTTCAACATAAAGCTTTATAATGTCTTTCCATCCAAAAAACCTACCATGATCTCTATTCGTCTTCTGAGTTTATGTTTCTTCACCCTTCCAGCAGTGCAAAACACTTCATGAAAACAGGGTTCCCAGCACAGAGGGACGCCTTGCTCCACTGCTAAACCAAGCCTAGCCCCTACTATACTGTACACCAACCATGACGCTCAGCCAGTTCCCCTACCTGCTTGTTTTTGAGGTCAAGCGAAAGCTCATAGTCGGAAGAGGAGGAGTGGGAGCAGGCGCTGGGCCCCTTGTTCCTCTGCACTCTCATGGGAGAGGCGGTGTGGTGGAGACTGGCTTTCTGCCCCGCTGAGGAGGGCCCCCCCCGGGCACCTGTGCCCTCCTCCACTCCGCCGGGCGTTGCACCCACATCATTCCCCTTGCCCTCGGTCTCACCTGCCTCCCCCAGGTCACAGCTTGCTGGATTGGAGTCGCTGCGGAAAGGAGAAAACTGAGTGTGAAGCTGCATTCTCCAACTTCTTCTGTGTTGGGGCTGTTGGGGGGCTTCTGCGTGGTTTTTTTAGGGCAGCAGAAAGCACGCCATTTTCTTTTAAGGTTTCATGCTGACTGTGGATTTAAAACACAACGTCAAACACTCAACCGCGACAAACAAAAACTGGAGGAAATCATGCATTTCAGTTTTGTCTTCATGAGATCTTGAGAAAGACAAGTCAAAATGACTCCAGACTTGAAGTGGGTTTCGTATCTTCGTAGTGGTGTAAGTGTACTACCGTCAGGTGAACTGAACACAATTTTTGCTATAAACTCCTACTGAAAAGAAAATCAGGACTCTGAGGGTGCTTGTGTCAATTTGGATTTTGTAAAGAAGCCCTGTTCCTGTCTCAAACATCCCTCTGATAGGCCGCTTGTGTTGGCAGGAGGCAATTACATTTCCTAGATTCAGGTCTTTATTTATGAAAAATATATATATATAATAATTTGCAAAACATTTAAGTAAAATATCCTAGGTAATTATCATGATCCTAATTACTATAGTTTATTTTAAAAACACTGCATGTTTTTATGTACATTTTCAATATACACGTGTACAGTAGATACTTTACAACCTGATACATACATAAAAACTGTCAACATTTCTTTGTAAGAAACAAAGCAGTTGTAAATTAAATTTGACAACTATTGTATATTCAACTCATTAAAATTCACTCATCATTATTTATTTCTTTGCTCATATATTAACTTTTCAAATTTACGTCATTCAAACAATTACAGCAGGGAATTCCATTGTTGTTCTTCACACAATCAGTAATATTCCTGGTTCCCACTTCCAAAATGATTCCATACAACTGGAAAGGCCTTGAAGTCCAGTTCCTGTCCTGGTCACTTAATTAGTTTCAATGTGATTGTTGATCTTCGTTCTTCATTTAGAAGGTGTTGCTTGCTGTGAAGCTCAGATCAGCCGATTACTGTGAACATAGTTATTTACCAAGATGATCACTCCTTTTTTGTGACTTGCTTTTATTTTCCAGCTGTGCACACATAGCACCAGTTTTAGTTCTTTTATGTTCTCAGCTGAATATGGTCAAATAATTATAAACTGTCCTTTGTAATGTAAATGTAGTTCTTCATCTGATTTGCTTTCTTCTTCTTCAACCCACATTATTTTTGATGGGTTCTTATAAACCTTTCAAACATGTTGCTTTGAGGATGTTTGAGATGAGTGCTTGTGTTCGAGGAAAGCGAACATGATTCTCATCTTGCTCCTTGCTGGTACGAGGATCATGTGAATAAAGCTTTAAAACTCACAGTTCCAAATGTGGTAGAATAGGTGGCAAGTATAAAAATAAGAAATCCATTTTTTGAAAAAAAATGTTGTATTTATATAATTTTGTAGTTTTTGCTGTTCACATAGTACATTCAGTATACATATACAAGTTGACAGTATGTGGGCATAGCAGTAGCTGTCCGAACATGCCCTGTTAATACTGCTTCGATTTACTAAGACTGTCATTTGTGACCTAACCTTTCTACTTTCTCACTGCAAAAGTTTTAATCTATTCCAAGATGCAATCACTCGATGGGAAAAACCAACACTGAGAAGAAAATGCATCACTTTGCACAAAGTAGGGTAGTTCTTGATCTTGCAATGTTTCAATTCCAATGTTTCAATTTCATTCTTGGAATAAATGCCTGAGAAAGTCAAGATTCATAATACTATTAATTAGATTATGATGCTATCAAAGCAATTGTTTCTGAAATATTCAGATCCTTTTTTAAAAATATGTTCCTGTATATCCCTGCCTGATCCATTCCCATGTACTGTAGGTCATCGACATGGTAGACAGACTCCTAAAGTAGTCAATTGCCTTATTCAGAGTTTAGGGAACATGGTTTTTGATTCTTGAATGTTGGCATCATGGAGCACTCCTGTGGACTCCTGAGTTGCCCATTGATATACAGTACTGTATCCTGGAGCTTCTCTCAGCAATGGTGTGTTTGGAAGAAGGCTCTTAACCCCTTACAGGATTATTTAATTTTCCATAACTGAGACATAAACCCTAAAAATTAAGATTTAACACTGTTATGGAGTCCGTAAGACCTAATATACTTATGATAAGGACTCCAAGGAATATCTAAAACAGGTTACATCTTACAACAAGTAGAATATATGTGTGTTTGTGCTCTTCAACAACAACCCCAGATTCTGTGGGCTCGGCTCATGTTCAAGCTTTAACTTGTCTTTGATGTTTAATGTTCTTAAGCAGATAGGTTCTATTAAACCCACTGAGTCACTCAGATTGGTATTCCTGGTTGTTTCTAAGGGTACCATTAAATTTAGTGAACAACGCATTACTGTGTTGCTATGTTTCATATGATATTGATTTGTAATTTGAGCTGTTGCTGGGATGCCACAAAAATTGACACAACCTATAGAAACTATTTCATTAAGTTTCATTAAGAATAAGCTTTAATGTGACCAGAATTAAAATGAAAGGGCCATGAAAGGGTAATACGCTGCAATGTTCTCTTATCACTTTTTGATTTTTTAGCATTCTAACATCTTAATGAGGTGCATCCAAGGATTAGACATTTCGACTTAAGATGAATCAAAGACCTAGGGGCAAAGTCATATACAGTAGCTTTGTTGAGCTGGCCATGACATCAGGAACTCCAGACCTCCAAAAGTATTTTTCTACCAGATCAGTCATGGCACCCATTTTTCAATAATTACAGGAAAAGTGGGACGGAAAATACTTCAAAGATTTCCTCAAGGCCAACATGAAGAGGTGCAACATTGACATTGACACAAAAGAGACTGTTGCCACCACCTCATATGGAGGACCTACAGTATATGAGTATGCAATAGGGATCGCATACCATGACAACAAAAAGGGAACTTGAGAGTCTGGGTGAGTAGGAAGATACAGAATAAACTGTCATGTATACAGTACAGTATATGGGAGGATGAACATTAGGATATTCTGCCCGTTTTTTAAAAAAGTGAATGATAGTCAAAAACTTTTTTATTTGAGAGCTCAAGACCTAAAGGTGAAGGATAGGTCTGACTGGAGTTTAAGAAGAATTAGAACAGAAGTTGGAAAGCTAGCAAAAGTTTGTAAGCCTTAAGAATGGCAGCAAATCAGTGTTTGCTGAAAATCTACTGACACATGGACAGAACTAACTGTTATGAGAGCCATATACAGTTCTTTGAATTTTTTCACCTACAAATGTGCTAAAAAGTGGGTAGGAATGAACTGAGTTCAAAGAAAAAACTGTCAAAGTCTGGCAGGAGATCCAGCCTGCCAGAACAGAGCAAAAGACAGAACTGAATGCTGAACAATGCTGGATGTGTAAGAAAAATGCAGGAGAAATTTGATGCAGACAAAGATAAACATTGTCTGTGGCATTAGAAAAGCTGGTTGCAACAAAGGACAAAGCGTAGTTTAATGGATGCTAAGTATTGTGGACGCAAAGAGACAAATGCTGAGATTGTGAAAGTGTATGCCAGATTCCTGTGCTTCAGAAAGTGAAAAGTGAAGGCAAGGCTGAGATTGAAGGCAAGGCTTGTTCTCCATTAGAATTTAGTTAAAACATACCCAAGTAATGTCTTCTAAAATTATACACACAATTTTAGTGTCTTAAGTGTTTGCAACACAGCTATCATGTTATACTGTATCTTAATGTCTGACATAACCAAATTGCTCCCTTCCTGTAATGTTGTAAAAGTGTTGTTATAAAATAACTAAACAACAGCCTTCATGTGAATAGTGTTAAAACAAATAATGTTACCTGAGTAGTGGCTTTAAAAAAGTTTGTTAGGGTTGTATGTTTGTAAAGAATAAATCAGTCCAAACAGAAACTGAAGAAGCTGTATTCTATTTTGTTCATTTTCAGACGAGGTTCACAGAAGCAAGCACAGTCATCTTACAGTAAGTAGAAGAATAATACTATAATCCATCCATTCATTTTGTAACCACTTTATCCAATACAGGATTATGGGGAACACCAGAGCCTAACCCAGAAAGCAAGGGTTGCAAAGCACAACACCCTGGGCAGGACTCCAGCACATACAGTAGCAGCTAATACTATTATTTGTACAACAATGCACTTATTGTAAATAGTAGAATAATTAATTACCCAATGCATAATAAGTCACACAAATGGATGATGGAAATAAAACCATTACGACCCAGGAAATTAAAAGTACTATATAAGTTAAATGTAAATTAATTTTAAAAATGCTAATTAAATTAAGAGAAAGAAAGTTTACAATAGGAGGATATTCCATATGTCTAGCCCATTTGGTAGTTAGTAGTTAATTGATCCAAGGATCTCATCCAGCTGTTTCTTCAAAGAAGCCAGTGTATTTGCTTTAACGACATGGTTGGGTAATTTGTCCCATACTCCCACAACCCTTTTTGTTTTCAGTTAAAATGCACTTCTACATACAGTAGTTTACATGTGTGCCTTCTGGGTTGTTTGTGACATTTATTATGTTCTTATGGGGCTGCAATTTTATTCTACTCCCTTCCATTATAGTTTAAATGTTCCAGGATTTCTTGTAAATTTGTGTGCCAAGTCGACTGGTGCCCATCTTATTTGTGTCTACATAGACAACAACAACGACTGGATCATTGCCTGCCCAGGCTAAGAGCTTGTTTAATCTGAGTGATATCAGTTACTTTAGCTCCAATTGACAGCAAACTCTTGTCATCTAATTAATCTCAGGTGAGGTGTTTCAGAGAATGGTATCTCCCGCAAAAAACACTTTTTCTTTTTTAATTCTTAGTGATATACTGTAGGAATTCTGGCCTAGATCTCTCATGTGTAATTCCAGGTGCTGGAGTGGGGCAAATTTGTCCGACAATGAGATGGTGGGTAGTGGTTTTTGGATGAGTTGGTAAAATTTAATTCCTTTCATCACCTAAAACGACTAGCTTCTCTCAGTCTGTTTTTCCATAACGTTTCTCTG